AAGGATAAGAAGCTAGAACTTATTGATTTAGGGCCGGTTCTTTAAGCCTAAATTTGAACTGGAGCCTGGAACCTGGTTGCTAGAGATTGTATTAATTTTAACTAAAATATAGAGCATGGAATTTGGAATCTGGAGATAAGAAATTAGAGCCTCTAAACAAGAGTTTGGAGACTAGATTTGGATAACTAGAATATAAAGTTGAAATGAACAAGCCCTTACTCGCATTCAACTTCTATCCAGTGATTTTTTCCCTCCAACTAGATTTGAGTAATGAGTGTTATTAGACCAACTAGTAAATATACATAACTCGTGCCAAAACCATCAATTATATTTCATCAACACTCTTGGTTTTGCATATTTTATATTTTCTAAATTGCCTTAAGAACTGTAGTTGTAGACGACCAAGTGCTACCTAATATGCAACAAAAAAGAATGTGTTTCTTTAAATGTTACTTTCCTCTAAATACAACATATTTATAACCACTTCTACATATACATTTCTAAAATTTCAATGAACTATTTAATATTTCAGATCAAAACAATGTTTCTTTAAATGCTACTAATGCTAAAATTACATTAATTGATTTCGTTCCACACAAAATGCGAATGCATTAAGAATAAATGATAGTGAGATATACAAGATGAATCAAGACTAAGAAATCTAAACGGTTCTGTTTTGAGATGTGCACCCACAAGGGAGTTCGCCTTTTAGAGGCATAGGTGGGAACTGTTCAGGAAGAGCAAGCACAGTGCTCCTTTTCAGCATTTCAAAGCATCACTCGGCATGAATTAGAAAACCTTTTTTCTCTTGTTTATCGAGGACATTTTTCTTTCTAAAAATTACCTCCTGCAACTAGGCCAACTTTAAAACACTCTAAAAAAAGGCGCACCTCTTCATCTTTGAGTCGTTCATTCATCTAAAGCCTATAAGATGAAATTCTTCCGAATCAAATATTACTCCTCCGACTTTCCTCTGTGTTTTTTCAGTCCAAGCATGAATTATTATTTTGCCTTCCATTTTCTTCAATTTTAAGGATTGCCCAAAATTGAATGTTAAGGTTTGTGTTTATTGTGCCTTCAATTTTATTCCAGACTTTTAAGTTTAATGTTAGTTCATATTTGAATTCATCAATTACAAAGTACTCACATTTTGCTTACAGTGGTCTATACTTTATCCTCCTCCACGTAAGCTTTTAATTAATTACAAAGTACAATATTTTACTCACTTTGGCAGTGCATTTATTATTATTATTATTTGTAAATGCACATCCATTATTTTTTAAAAACATTGTTTGGATGTTATGATTATGACTATTTATTTGGATGTTTAACAAATTTGGATGGAATGATTAGAATGAATTTAAGTAGTTAAATAGAAGTACGTTTTATAATTCTACATACTCCGTGTTGGTTACTACTATAGGATATTTGAGTTATGATCTCCAATTTACATTCTTCCTCCCCTCTTCTGATCCTAGGTAGGACCATGTGTAACAACCTTGTCTAGAAGATATGGTCTGAATTATGATTTTATGTGATTATCGTTTTAAGTTATTGTGAGTGAATAATGACTATTTTAGTATCTTTCTCAGTTTGTCCTTAAATTAGCATTACATATAATACATTTTTTTCTTTTTCGTGAAGTGTCACTTTATGACAGAAAGTAACGGTTCAGTCTGCACTTCCGCTTAGAAACAAAATCGGCGTCCCAAGTTGTGTGAACATTTAGAATTAAAAAGTTATTCACAAGCTCGTAGTCTCTATTATTCTACTTCTCTTTCTTGCCTTTTTACACTTTAGTTTCTATTGTCATGATATGCAGTTTTTATCTTCTGGACAGCTTTATTGACTCAACTGCACTTTTTATTGTTTATTTTTTGTGAGAAATAGAATGTTTTAAATTTTCTCCAACAATTATTCTATTGCTTGTCAAGATTTAGTCTTTCCTAGCTTATCTATTGCTTGCCAAGGTTTGAAATTTTGAATCCTTAAGTATAAGAGGTTCAATCCTAATGCCTTTTACAAGAGTTCCAAAAGGTAAAATAAAAATTACATGCATGGAGGTGGTCCTTCACCCTCAGGTTCCAGTTTACGCCACTCATATGGCTTTGCTGCTGTATCTAAAGCCCAAACATCTGCTAAAGGCCGTTTCCCTGAAAAATACGCACAATAATATGAGATCATAAAGCCATGTGCATGTTAGAAATAGCACCAAAAGGTCTTAATAAGACCTACCATCATTTCCACCAATTGACATTAGGTATCTTTGCCCCACTAAAGCCATGACATGTCCATAACGAGGCCCTGGCCCAGGACCTTGGACGACAACTCTAAAATAAAGATAGCACAACTTTAGCGGCCTAAAACACGTGTCTGTACATATGTATGTCAGCTCTTGGCGTAAACAATCACTAATTCAACAAGAGAAACATGCACAGATTTTTGTGTGTGTAACATGCACCCTAAGTGACCAACCTATGCCACCGTGATCGTTGTTGAGTTAGATCCAGGACATGAAGATCCTCACCAGATAAACCAGCCGGACCAATTCCACCCTGTAATAATAACAATTGACCATCACACCTATGCAAACCAAATATCAATCCCATGCAAACTCTTCACTAACAGAAAATACCCACCTGGATCACCACCATGGTACCAACAGCAGTTGCTACATGGGCTGCCCGCGGCGTGGGGGGCTCTCCAATTGGATTAATTCTGAGAAGGTAAGAGGTGAAACCTTATAAACAAGCCTTCTCAGCTAATAAACAATACAATTAATCAAAAGGGTTACCTAGACCATTTATTAGTCAAAACATCATAAGAGTGAACATCAGCCGTAGCCCCAGCCAACCCTGTAAACAGATAGAGCCTTTCAAGATTATTTCAGATTATTCATGAAAAGTTTTAAATGTTCATTTAACCAACAGGAAAATCAAATTAAATAATCACCCTATCCATGTCATGCATAAATTAGGAAAATGACATGAATAGAAATGTGCATCATTGAAGAGGGGCAAATTTCCTATTTTGAAATTTATAAATTCCGCATGAAGTTAAGTCCATCCATTATCACATTATCATGCTCAAACAACAAAGTGGCATATTTCCAACCGGCACAAGTGTTCATTCACACCCTTGTGATGACATATTGATATGTGAGGCCTTTAAAGTGTCCGAAAAATAGCCTTAAGAGGCACACCCTTGACGTACTTATAAAAAGCTGAGCACAATGACAGTTGCATAATACATGCATAAACAAGCATACCAAAACTACTCCAGTAAGAAGAAAAAATTATGAACTTATGAAAAGGAAAACCAGTGAACCCAAGTTCAATTTTTTTTATTTCTTTTGAGGGAAGATCCCAAGTTCATATGAAAAAGGAAAAAAACCAAAGGAAAAGAAATCAATAATGAATTCGTACTAATTCCAGCACTTCCAGCAGATGAAGGAGTCCCTGAGGCTGCAGAATTTCCCTCTAGTGAAGTGGCACCACCAAAGAGAATAAGCCGAGGACCAATATATCCAGGGGTGCCTTCCTCTCCCACAGCCGGGACAGCCGTTAGCGTGTGACCACACCTTGGCCCCGGACCATCATCCTTCTCCAGAATAGGGTGCACCACCGAGAGAGTAGGAGCGCACCTAGGCCCCACAGCCGGACTTATATTGTGTTGGGGTGGAGGCGTGGGAAGAGGCAGAGTCGTGGGTGGCGACTGCTGCTGCTTCTGTTGAGACGGAGGAGTCAGCTGCTCCGGTGACTCTCCGGTGGGCGTCTCACTTCTTAATTGCTCGGGGCCAGACCCATTATTCTTCGGATCCTGATCGGATTCCGACGTCATAGTCGAATCAGCGTCCATCTTCTTCAATCCGAAGCTGATATATCCAAAGCTTCCCGTATACGATCGGTGCTCAAAATCTCAACGATTGGCATTTCCGAACAAACATTCTCAATCCAATTCAAGCTCGAAACGCGGTCGAATTCACAATTCTTCAACTCCTATCTCAAATCATCTGATTCCACAAACACAAGGTGGGGTACATACGCATGCACAAATAATAGACCTAGCGCGGAATTTCCCGATAGATTTAAGCCCTAGAAGTGAGGGAGAAAACAATCTGCTGTTCGTTTCCCTTTCGTTCCGTTCTTCCTCTCCACCGAAAAGCTTCTCTATCTATGATGATGCACCAGTGTTCTATTCCCAAAAAAACAAAATACAAAAAAACAAAATATAACATTTTTTTTTATTTTTCACAGCTCCTTATATACTCTATGTTCGTCCACTTTTTCAATGTTCCCCAATTGGAAAAAAATTTGCTTACTTCCCTTAGTTCCCTATTTGGAAACTTTAAAATCATGAATACAAAGTCAATTGGATATTAATTTTTAAATAATACTCCTCCCTTTAAAAAATAGTTTGATTCACCTAAATTAAGAAAAAGATTTCAAAAAAATAAAAAATAAAAGAGTAAATTTCATAAAAGGTCCTTAGTTATAGGTCGTTTTACATATTTAGTCCCTACATATCAAATGTTACTAATTTAGTCCTCAACTATTATACTCCGTATTATTTTTTACGAATGGTCCTTTGTTAACGTTTTTGTTAAGAACATTGATAAAATTGTATATTTATATTTTTCTCTCCTTAATAAAGCTTTCTCTCTCCTCTCGTACTCTTTTTCTCAAATTCGTCGCTGAGTTTGAAGCTCTAAATCTAAAACTGAAATGATCATTCCTCTCTCAATTATTAGTCTTCCTGGTGTAACCTAAAATCAACCAATAAGTTTTGTGAATGAGTTTTATCGGTTAGTCTCAAGAAATTGTAAAGAAACAACAACAACCCAGTTGAATCCCACTACAGTAGGGTGTGGCCTGGGGAAGGTGTGTGTATGCAGACCTTTCCCCTACTCGGGAGTAGAGAGGCTGTTTCCAAGAGACCCTCGGCTCCAACTGCACAAAAAATATGATAGGGCACAATAAAACACAGATAAAATACCAAGTACAATGGAATGAAAGTCCTGCAAGCAATAACAAAAGATTCCAACCAAACAAAACACACTACAAAAACCTCTGAGACACCGGGCCCCTATCCAGCTACTCTAATCCTAGTTCTCCAAAGGTTCCTATCTAAAGTCATATCCTCAGTCAGGGTGAGAAGTCCTAAATCCTGTCTAATCACATTCTTCCAATTCTTCCTAGGTCTACCCCTTCCCCTACTTCCCCTGACGACCGTAATCCTCTCGCATCTCCGTATAGGGGCGTTAGCATTCCGCCATCTCACATGACCAAACCATCTCAACCTCGCTTCCCGCAGCTTAACTTCCACCGGCGACATGCCTACCTGACGTCGGATAACTTCGTTCGAAATCCTATCCAACCTTGTCTTCCCACACATCCATCGTAACATCCGCATCTCCGCCGCATGCAGACGACGCACATGAGTCTTCTTAGCTGCACAACACTCTGCCCCATATAACATAGCGGGTCTGACTACGAACTGGTAGAACTTACCTTTCATCTTGGGCGAAATCTTCGGATCACACAACACCCCTGAAGCCAATCGCCATTTGGCCCAAGCCACTCCAACACGATGTCCAACATCCCCGTCTAACTCCCCATCAGCCTGAATTACCGAGCCAAGATACTGAAACTTGTCTACCTCAGGCACTAAGTGAGAGTCAATTCTAACTTCCACTTCTGATTCCGTTTTCCGACCACTGAAACAACATTCCATGTATTTAGTCTTGTTCCTACTTATTCTGAATCCTTTGGTCTCAAGGGTAAGGCGTCATCGTTCCAACTTATCGTTTAGTCCCTCACGCGTGTCGTCGATAAGCACAATATCATCCGCAAAAAGCATGCACCATGGGACCCCTTCTTGAACACCTTGAGCTTTGCTTTGTCCATTGGTGAGCTTTGCAGTGGCCAGTGGTGAGCTTTGTGTCATCTCACCGTAAGGGGTCATCTCACTGCAGTCAATCCTTATATATATATATATATATATATGCGAAAATGAAGAAAAGAGAATCGAGCCATACTTTATCCATCTTTGATTGCAGTGCAAACCTTCTTTGATTAAAATAATAGGTCAAATTAGAAAGATAAAGTACAAAAGTCAAATTAAATAATCCTGCTAAGTAATACTCCATATGGTTTAAACACTTAATATATATAATTTTAATATAGGGATTAAGAAGTATTTGTTATTTTACATCACTATTTAAATAAATGGAATAAAGCTAACTTCTCTTAATCATAAGATAAAGAAATATGAAATTTTTTTAAAGATAAAGAGAGTAGTTTATATATTCATCGAAACTATTATTATAAATGAAATGAAAAAAATTAAAAGAAATAAATACCTCTCTTTCTTAATTAAATGTACTCAATGATAATAAAATCATAAATAATGTTAGTGTAATATAATAAGTCCCAACGATATATTTTGTTTTAATCATTTGTCTTTTATAATATAATAAAAATAGGTTTAAATATGTTTTTATACCCTATAAAATAAGAAATTTTTTCGTCTCAGTAAAATATTTTTTGATAAAGTCATCCCTACAAAATATTTTAATTTGAAAATAGTCCTTAACCTAATTAGAACTTCTAATTAGATGAGATAGTACATTTATTTCATACTCAACATATTAGTCATGTATTTCTAATTACATCCGATGCAATTTCTAAACCCTAAATTGTGTACTTATTCATATTACATATATTTGGTTCTCAAATTTCTTAC